CAAAAATGTTAGAAAGTAAAATAGCCCATATTTCATGTTTCCACAGTTATCTTGTTGCTGTACAACGTGGTCCATGCTGTAATTTTTTCACTGGTGCTTTATTTCTGCTTTGTAGTCAAGAAATTAATAGTGAGTGAAAGCTGTAAAAAATGAAGCTTGAAAACCTGACATGTCAGCGTGCTTGGAGAAGAGCACTAAAATGTCAACTGATTTGCCAGCTATTAAGGCACAACTGCAGATTTCCATTAACACATTGAACAAGCTACGCTACAGCAGATAAAAGTCCCCTTCAAAAGAAGAAAGAAAAGATTCAGAGTAGGTCATTACCTAAACACAGGGACTAAATTAACTAGAACAAAAAAAATTCACAGCTTCTTCAGGAAAGCTTACTACTCTGCATGGCATACTGCATTCACATTGGATGGGTCTTGATGCCAAATATTTTTTTTTCTTGCTGTTTTCGCTGTTGTTTTCTAGAGGTATATTCTTGTACAAATGATCAGCCTGTAAGGAGGTAATTATTTATTTTGCCACAGGTGTAGAGAGCAACAAATGAAAGAGAAGTAATGTTGGAGTTGGATCGTACAAAAATTTTCACTTGTTAATTCTTTCACTTTATGATACTTGATTTTAGAGTTATTTAACCCTGCACAAACATCTATAGGAACAATGCTATCCTCAGAAATTATTCATATGAGTTTTGGGGAAGGGGAAAAAAAGTTGTCACACAATGTTTCAAGATATTAATTCAATAACCCTTTCAGGTAGAGCCTTGGGTACAGATTAGGCCTTCATATCTGTATTCTGGATAGCTCCGAGAAGGTTTCCTGCTCCAAGTGCAAAACAGTGGCAAGCTGTTACTGGGCTCCACAGAACAGGCACATATTAGGGGCTGCAGTGGCACCTATCAAGCAGCTCTGCTGTTGTTGTGCATCACAAGTGCCTCTCCTTCTCCTCCTAGCTCTGTACTGTCCCACCTGATTTCCTCAACTTGGTGTGGCTGATGGAGCTGACACAGATGTGATCTCTATATTGGACCAGTATACAGCACAACTTATGGCTTACGGACACAAGCCCTATAGCAGCTCAGAAACGGCATGTGCCATTTGGCAATGGGAATCTCTGTGCAAGAGCTGTCTGGAAGACTAAGTGCCCTTAAGAAACTCAGTCAGTTAGCAAGCAAGGACCCATTGGTCCTGCTGGAGAGGTCATTTGACTGAAGTTTTGGGACAGTCGCAGAAGAGCAGAGACTGCGCATGAGAATAGAATGAGGGGGGCAGTTTGGCCACCTGAGGAACACACGGGGAAGGGGAGCAGATGTATGTGTTACAGATGGAAAGTTAGCTGCTTTTCAATGAAAGAGAGGCCATCCCAGGAACTGAGATCTGTAGCGGCCAGCCCACTCATCTTGGTGGATTGAATGTTCCTGCATGACTGAAAACATGACAGGGGTATTTTGATACGTGAATTTGCTCATAACTGACTGCTTGGTGTCAAGGAAGAGTATGTGCACAGAATGAAAGGAATAATAAAAGAGTTTATTTCTAAAAATTGTCTGGGAAATAAAAAGACCAAGAAATTGACAAAGGATTCACCACAAATCTGTATATACATCTTGAATTAATGCTTTGAATCCAATCTTTAGTTACAGGGAGAGGTTTGGTCCCTTTTCCTCCTAAATGATTAGTGTCCTACATAATTCAGAGCTAGCCTTTGGATGTTTGCACTGTTATGTACATATGTGTACTCTGGCAACAAGCCATAGTCACTCACTCAGCGGCGAGGATTAAAATGTTGAACAGCTCCTCCTTCACCGTGCACTCTGTCCTGTCGATGAGACAGCTCCTGGGGAAAATAAAAAGGTGGTGACCATGTTAGCAAAATTTGAATTGCAGCTTTATAGATGAAGGCAATGAGCTGTGATTTCACACGCAGTTTTCATTCTTGTGCTTCCCACTTCTAAGCATTTAGAGTTATCACTCTGTTACTTTGATAATAGGGGTGGTATTTTTTGCTTTTTGTTCAAAGAAGTCTTACAAAGAAACCCATTATTGTATATCCATGTGGGGCAAAGGGTTTTCCCCTTGATTCTTCAGCACCATTGCCCAGCTAGACCTATGGCTCTTGCTGCATTCATTGATAGCTAGGCTCGTAACCTATAGGAATAAAGGGAAATGGCAGCAAAAAAATTATGACATACACAGAGCTGTCAGGACTTACCAGACAAAGTCCAGATAGGTGCTCTTCTCCTGATCTCAGAGCCTGGCTTTTTCCATAGATACCCATGGCACAAGCTTGTACTTACATTAGATTATTCTTATTCCTGTATTATTTTGGCAGATTACTGATAAACAAGTGGCTTTTCAGGAGTCTGTTTGCCAGTCCTAAATAAGAATGAGACTACAAAGACACTTCTCTTCCTGACAGTCCTTGTCCCAGAGGAAGTTTAATAGGGTGTCATAAAGAGAGGGTGATGTCCCCTGAAAAAATCAAAAGTATGAAGAATCTGTGGGCCCAGAAAAACTGTAAACATCTGTACTGAAACTTGTAATTCACCATTATGCTTTAAAACTGCTGAAAGTCAGAGAGGAGGATTTTAAGATTTTTTTTTTTTTTTTTTTTTGAGAAAGATTGCAAGAAACATAGGACCAACTAGAACACTAAGCATTGGTTATTCCTATTGACTGTATAATTTAGATATCTTTTTTTATTGTGGAAAGCTCCCAAAATTCATTCAGATATAGCTAAAAGGCATGAGATGATCCTGCTTTTATGTTCCTATATTCATGCAACTTTGAGACAATCTGCTTATTCTCTGCAAATTCATGAAACTACGCTCTGTGCAGATACAGTCTTCAGGCAGCTTTTGTGCTGTATGCAGTCTCCTACAGAAAGTGTGCTACTCTGTCATTAATTATGAAAATGAAGCAACACTAGGGCAAGAAGAGTGAAATTTATTGTATCTTTTAGGCTTCTTTGTTCAATTCCCTATTTGTTCTTGTGTATAGAAAAATACTGGCTTAAAAAACGTTAGTTATAACTTAAGTTATAGAATGATGCTGCTGTTTCCCAGCAACAAATTAATATTTTTTTTAAAAAAGTAAAACAGTATAAAACCTGTTCAAAGGTAAAGCCAAAGAGTTATTTACATGAGAGTCATGTGTCTGCATTTACTTAAGAGTGGGAGTAAATACAAGATTTTCAAATGCAAAACTAACATGGTACAATAAAAAACTTTCCTTGCAAAATTTTCCAGTAAAATGAAAAAATCTGTTGATTTCTAAACAATTTAGATAACATCTGGTAGTTTTTATTACTTTAGTATGTTTCAGTAATTCTTACTTAGCAAAATAAACTCTCCTGCTTCTTTTCTCCAGTGATGAAATTCCATACCGAAAAAACTTGACCTTTTAAGAGATGCTTAGCTCATCACCTTATATAAATATATATTTAGAATCCTTCTCCTGTCTGCAGATAGACATACTGGTGGTCAGTTGCAGCTGATAAGTGAGTTTGTTGATTCCACATCTTGTATAAGTTGAATAAACTTTAGAGAATCTCACTAGTTGAAGATGGAAATTATTTTTCCTTTTTAGGCAAAAGGCATGTGTCTTAGCTAAAGAACTGGACGGGAAAAAAAACCCAAACATTTTGTCATTTGGCTTTTGATTCTTTCCTGCTAATATCTGGAGCTTCTGTCGGCTGCGTTAAGGGTTGTTGAGAGTGTGGCCGCCTCCTCCAGTACCTCCAGTCCCAGGATTCCATCCTGCCTGGCTGCTGGTGCCCACTCTGGTACCCACAGCCCATGTGGGATGTGTCTGCTGCTTTCCCCTTTGCTGGTTCAACCAGTAGCAAAGCTGAGCAGGTATCCCAGTGACAGCCAGTTCATTGACATGGCCATCACACAGACTGCCACAGACATTGCACTGCCTTCAACAGCACCCAGATGCAGGACTCACATAAAACATAAACATAGGCAGCCAAGTCCCCTCCTTTGTGCTGGCTGATAGAGATAGAAGGTCACTAGGGACACACATGTCCAGACACCCCTACATACACCCCCAGTTTTACATGTGACCAGCCCCTTTTATATCCCTTTCTGTCCATTCCCACATTGCTCCTCACCATTTCCTAAGCCTTCACGGCTTACAGACTGCATAGTCCCACCAACCCCCAACATCCTGGGCCCCCATTACAAAGTCTAGTTTGCATGACAATAGCATGACAATTAGCGTGTCTGATGAGGTAATTATTTTTTCTGGTTTTTTTTGGTTGGGTATTTCTTTTGTTTGGTTTTGGTTGTTTTTCTTTTTTTCCTCCATATGTTTTTCTGTCAGGTTTCTGAATATATATTTTGTTTATGGCTTCCTCCTTTTTTTATTATCCATTTTTGCACTGGAAAAGTAATTGACTAGATACCCTTAAAGGAGCAGACACTGGTCTTCCACACGCCCTATACAGATTTTATTCAGACACTATAGTGCAGAGTAGCTGTGAGGTCCTTGTGAATACATCCTCTCAAGGCTAAACAGCAGGATCAAGAAAATGCTAGCTTCTTCCTGCCGTTAAAATTGAGAATTTTAAACTTTTTCTTATCAGATAACTTTGGTTATTAAATAGAAGTGGAGTTGCTCCATTAGTATGAAATAGTTAAGAAGATACCCTCCAAACAGACCCTGGCTCTAGCAGAGGGGCCTGATGGTACAGTCATTAAAGTAGAGAATATTTTTTTTCTAGAAGTTAGTGAGAGTCTTCAGTGTCTTGGAGAGTTTCACAGACCTTGGGAAGAAAGCCACAGATTCCCATGAACTGTGTGATATTTGCAATTTAAATTAAAGCTAATGTTTTCAGCAGTATCACTGTATCACGAGTCCTTTCAGAGAGGAGCATAAGAAAAAATCTACTCTCCTCCATCACTGTATTCATGCTGTGCTATTTTTTTCTCAGTTGTGATACTCATTAATATACTTTAAATGCTCTCTCATATTTATATTTTTCAGGTCAAAAGGTGTGCTATGGTGATTTCAAGCGTTCTTGCTACAAGTTAGCTTATTTCCAGGACTTGTCTAGACGTGTGGGCTTTGAGGAGGCCCGCCAAGCTTGTGAAATGGATGGTGGGGCTTTACTGAGCCTGGAAAGCGAAGCTGAGCAGCAACTAATAGAAAACATGTTGCAAAACCTCACTAAGTCAGGCTCTGGGATTTCTGATGGAGATTTCTGGATTGGGTTGTGGAGAAGTGGCAATGAACTAGCCACCTCAAGTCCTTGCCCCAACCTCTACAAGTGGGCAGATGGAAGTATTTCACCATTCAGGTAAGTCTGCAAAACTGCTTATTGAAGTTTCATGGAAAGAAATGGAGAGCGAAATGCCTGGCAAGTCAAGTCTTCCATAAAGAAGCTTGAAAACTTGCAATCCCATTAAAATTAATGGCATGACTCCTTAACTTCTACAGATAAAGGGGAGCTGGTAACCAGGGGTTTGAATTTGAAGCTGTAAAAAGGATGGCATAGTGTGGCTAGAGCCTACAATTTCCTTTGCTTCCATCTAATGAGTTTGCCTCTGTATGGCCCCACCCCACATAGAGGATTTTAGGATGTGGTCTGAAAGCAGGCAGATAAATTCTGTAAGACTGGCCACCTCAAATCAGGAAGCCAGCCAGCAAGTAAATTAATGCATGTTACTTAGTGTAAATGGTTCTGTTTCTAGCTTGGAAAAGCTTTTAATTTCCTGATTAAGCAAAAGGCCAGAGTAGCAGCAGCTCACAGAGCTCAGGACAAAGGGACAGATAAGAGCCAGATAGAAAGGAAATCAGGTAACAGAGCAGTATAGTGTTATTTCTGCAGAAGTGTTTCAACAGGTCAGATTGTTTTTAAGATCCAGAGATGTGGAGCCCAGGTCCTAAACTGCTTTCTTGGAGGAGTTGTGGGAAGTATAGCGCAGTTTTGAAGAGGATGATGTTTACTGATGTAAACTCCTTTGCTTGGCATCCTGATGCACCTTACCTTCAAAATTTGAATATTTTTCTTTGTGTACCACTAGAAATTGGTATACAGATGAGCCTTCCTGTGGAAGTGAAGCCTGTGTTGTGATGTATCATCAGCCAACTGCAAACCCTGGGCTCGGAGGGCCATACCTTTATCAATGGAATGATGATAGGTGCAACATGAAGCACAATTTTATCTGCAAATATGGCCCAGGTAAGTGAAACTAAAGTTAAGTTTCACAGCTAGGATGCTTTCTTAGAAAAACAGTTGCCTCTTGTTTTGTGAAGGAACCTGAAAATGTCTTGTTTGTGGCCTGTGTTACTGATTCCTTTGGTCTGAGTGGCTGAGCTGACGTTAACAGGGATGTAATATATCAAATCTAGTGATAGTTTAAGTAAAAATATCTGTATCCAGTAAGAATGTTTTCAAGGCTAGCTTCATTACGATGCATTCCCAGGTTTATTTTAGTTTAACTCATTCACTAGTTACTTTATTCTCCAAAAAGTGTTTTAAGTGGCCATTTTCTTGCTCGTTACCAAGTAGGATGACCAAGATATCTCTTGATCCTACTGTAAAAAAATTACAATGTCCTTGTAGTTGCAGACATCTGACATTTTATACCAACTTACGCAAGATAGCTGTTTCTAAAAGTTTTGGATTAAACAGAAAAGTCCAGAAGAGCAAGAAGAAAATTCTGTATTCAAACATGTAGATTTATAGATAGGAAAAGCAGATGCACACTAGTTCAGAAGGTGACAGGAAAAGCCAGATCTTAGGCAATTTGGCTGTACTTCCAGACATGACATAGGTTGTGTATATGTCAGTAGAGGAAACATGAACTAAAAACTAGAACTCTGTACAAACAGAAAAAGGACATGAAAAGTAAACTTTGAAGTTGAGCCTACTTTTCGTGGTACTTACAGGAAAGGAAAACATGTCTTTCAGCAGGATCATGCAAATAATTTTTAATAATTTATGGTGTGTCTGCTTTTCAAAAACTAAGCTGAAAGTCAGAATGCATATGAAATCCTACTCTTAGAAGCCATTTGACCAGTTCTGCAGTCTCCTACCTGCTTTCTCCATGCTCATGATCTAGCAATAGCTCTTTGTAGGGATCCATCTGTCTGTAGAGATGCAGACTATTTTCTCCCTTCAGTTGTAGTAGATAGGTAGCTTTCTTACTGTCTAATGTGGATATTAATGGCAATTAGTATTGCAGGCAAATATTAAATACTTGGAAGGCTTGATATAGCTACACATTTCACCCTACCCCCCAAATCTGTTCCTCCTTCTAAAATTATTAGTGAGTATCACGCCTTATGGTGATCAGTTATCATCTTGGTCACGCAGGCCATTCAAGGAACTGCAATGTATACAATTTTATCAATTTTACAACTGATCACAATCACTTTGAAATAGGAGGACACAACAAAAATGTTTTAAGTTGTTAAAATCACAGCATTTTTATTGTCAGAAAATGCGGGTTTGATATATTTCATAACTTTAAAAACAAGCAAATTTAAGTGAAATAATTATTCTGTAATAGTGAATTACTTCCATTCTAATTCTGATGTGTTAAAAGTTTTTTTTTTTTTTATGTTGCTTTCACCATCTGAAAAAATGCCAGGTATTTTGGATTGGCAGAAAACAAAGTGATAACAGTAACAATGAAAATGAATTTATATTTCTTTCACTATGCTGGGTTAGATTACTTGTGTATAATGAGGCATATAATAAGGCAAACAATATATAGGTAGGTTATTATTAGGACTGACATTGTTATGCAGCTAAATAGACTACTGCTGAATTGTAGCTCTTTACTTTTCAAGCTGTTGAAATTGTGCTCTTTAGCAAAACACACTATTCTCCAGAAATGTATTTTTCTATCACATGCAGAAGAGGAGTAGATGCATAAATGTATATAAATAGTTATATGACTTTCACTGCCTGAAGAAAGTACCATGGTGTAAGAAAATTACATTTCCTACCTAAAACCTAGTGAGACTTACAAATGACCTTTTCCATCCCCCAAATCGCTGTAATAGCTTCAACGTCAGCCATTTGCAACACAAAATACATCCATTTTACCTGGAATATTAAAGTGCCACATGCATATTGAATTTCATTTTGTTATCTGAGTATATTGTTTTTCAGAACTTTCCTTTCTGTTTTGAGTGTGTGGTGCCTGATTCCAGTCATAGACCAAAACACAGAGGTTGTAGGTGACCATGATGAAGTTGCATCTAATTGTGTCAGCAGCAAGTTCAGGGCAGCGCTTATTAGGCAGTCTTACTCAAGCAGCAGCTGCATTTCTGGTAGACCCTTTCTTTTTTTCTAAGCCCCTTTTATAGCACCTCCCTTGACAGCATTTACTGTTGCAGTGTTCAGTCTGGCTTTAGATCATATTGATCATTCAGCCATCTTAAATTTAATTATAGGTTGGTAATTGCAACCACATTTAGTTCCTGTCCAGCTCCTGGAGGTTTGATTATGCAATCAAATTAAAAACTCATCTCCTCTTTTTCTGTCTAGAGGCAGCAACTCAGTACTTTGTGCTGTTTTGATATCTTTTTATAAGGCCAAACATAACCAGTTTTTAGCAGAGTAGATGAAAGAATTGCCTTTGTTCTAGAAGGCTTTATTGCTTCTTCAATTTCTCCCAGCATTTTGTGTTTATCAGGACACCCAGTACTGCAGGCTGATAGCACTGTTATGTTAATATGACCTTATGATAAAGGAATGGTATTCATATAATCATGCATATTCCATTCCTATGCTCAATATGAGGTAATTAGTTCTGTGATCTTTGTAAATTTTTTGTTGTTACAATAGCCATAAGTAAACTTGCAAGCCTCTGCCATACAGCTCAAAGCTGTGAGATGGTTCTCCAGTTTCTGATGCATTACAAGGAATATGATACTATAATTCCTCTTTTGGTAATTTCACATCTGTATGTGATCTGTTAGAACCCACTTCCCATGATTGGTATTTTAGGGCTACCTATTGCAAAACCAAACTAGGTGAAGCTGACATTTAACCTCAAAAACTTGTGCTGCTTTGTTTTGGTTCATAGCAAATGTTCATTAAGCATACTTTTGAACATGTGCCTAAGATTTAAATATTAATCGAGAACACTTCCTCTCACGTTGTTTTAGGGTTATACGCACAAATGAACCTTTGAATGTGTTAGGAGTTTTATTCCTCACGAGAAATTGAGGGATTCGGTGATTTAGGAGAGACCACCAAGAACTGGAGGTAGAATGAGCTATAGCCCTTTTCTAAGTAGCAAAAATTTATGAACTAGAAGTGATTTGACATTAGTTTGCAAATAGTCTTTGGTAAGAAAATTAAATGCTGAAGAATTAAGCAATTATTTTTTTGTATAATGTATCTATTTCTATAATACTGCATGCAAAAATAATGAAAACATCTGTTTTATTATACATATTTTTCACTCTTTAACAATTGATTTCAAATATTGATTTAACAGATAATGTCTTAGAAAAAGAATTAGGAGACAGAGCGGAGCCCAATCACGGTAAGAAATTTTGAAACATTAACTTGAGTTGCAATGGTAAATACGTAAATATAAGGTTAGCGTATAAGAACCTCCAAAATTACTCAAGTTTAACAGGCATAGTTTAGAACTGGAACATATGAAAAATGAATCCTTTAGAGAGCAATAGCTACAAATATATGGTTACTGTTCAGAATAGCACTGCTCATAATTCTTTTTCCAGATGTAATCCCAATTTTGCAATAAAATCCTGTCTACATGTTTATGTCCAGCAGTTTAATCAATCCTGAAAATGTTCATTTTTCCAGTATAAATTAATATTTAATTACTATTAATTTATTTAACATCATAACAGCCATACTTTGTACTCACTGTTTTCCTTAAATCATAGAATCATAGAATTGCCTAGGTTGGAAGGGACCTTTCAGATCATCTAGTCTAACCATCAACCTAACACTGACAAAAAACATCACTAAACCATATCACTAAGCACTACGTCTACCCCTCTTTTAAATGTCTGATATCCTTTTCAGGTAATTTTCCAACAGCGCCAGCAGGAAATCCTTACGACACAAGCAAACCAGAAGATCAGTATCATGTTATTGCTACTGAAACAGGTAATGTGTTCATGTGAATTTAGTGTTCTGGTGAAACTATTAACAGTGGACTCAGTGAAATTAATCTTTAACATTTTCCATTGTTGTCAGTGGGAGGAAGGAGTCTATTTCCCCAGGAAGAGCCCTGAAAAAGTATACTTTTGAATAACATTTCAAGAGTTTTAGTCAGTCCTCTTTGTAGCTTTTTAGTCAGTCCTCTTTGTAGCTGTGGAGACAAATTATTTCCATGTCTCCCCAAACTTTGATCCAAATCTACATTTTAGTAGTCCTTGAAATTGCACCTTTGTCTCTGACACTGGTGAGTCTCTGTCAAGACACAAGATTTCACTGGTGTTCACCCAGCTGTGTAGCGTCACTTTCTAGGCTGTGGTAACCAATGCCTTGCCTCTCTCCATCTCCTCCCCAACCTGTGTAACGAACATATGGTGCATACATTATCTTGTATATCTGATACCCAGGGCTCGCAAAAAGAGCACAAATGAATCTTTTCTAACGGATAGGGCATAAAGTTTTCAGTTATCTGCAGAATAAGTACTGTGCTGTAGCTCCTGCAAGTAGCCTGTTTTGAGGAATACCACATGCCAAAGGAAGTTAAGGGCTTTGCTGAGATTTCTAGCAGAAATGGCTCTTGCTATTTTGAAAACGGATACCCACTGCCTAAGAGCTTTCTGTAACACTCCTAGCTACTTCATTTCACAATTTGTGTCCTGAACATAGACTTGTGGTTCATGAAGAGTTGTAGCATGGCATTAATTCAAGGAATTAAACATCTCTGAGGAGCAGCTCAGGATCTTACAGGATTACAGCATGGGATTGTAGAAAGCTGGAACTCCCTTTTTACCCTTGTTGGCTGGATTTGAGCCATTTTCCTAACTGATGTTCCCATTGTTTGTAACTCCAGAGATACAGATATACTAATGAACTGTATTTTGAAATCAATAATGCCGTTTATATATAACATACAAAGACTCTGTATCTAAAACTCATAAACAAACGCGCCCTGAATATTGACCTTTATTCTTACTAGTAAAAATATTTTTAAAAGAGGACAATGGATAAGAAAGTGTCCACAATTTGTACGTTAAATGTATACCGCTATAAAACATGGGCGTAGTTACCGAAAAACAGGCAGATCCTTTCTGGAAGTTGTCGACCCTATCCTCTATTCTAGGTAGATAATAGAGTTTCAGCTTGTACCTTTTCCCACTTTTTTTGCCCATGCACTTGCAGGGGAGCACCTTTAGCTGTCCCCTCATTGGTGAAGGACAGTATACCTTTTACCTTTGTCTTTTAAGGGGAATGAGGACACAAGAGCTGGGTTTGTTCCTTTTAGGGTTCCTTTTCCTGCATGGGTGGAAATCCAACATGCAAAGGCAACTAAATGGAGAGATTTTATGGCCTGTAAAAAATAATAGGCTGTGAAATGTAGTCTACTTAAATATTTGAATTTTCCATTATAAAATTGGAAATCTCACACTGATGAACATAGAAAATGTCATAATTTAAGTCCTTAAGATAGATGTTGAACATTGCTGGAGAAGTACTATTTTATTTTTGATATTGCTGAGTCATCTTTTTAGAGCTCCTCCTGTAGAAGGAATGTATAAATGTTATTTTGTCTAAGTTAATATATTTCTGATATTTTAGTCCAGATTTTTACTCACATGGTTAAGAGTATTTCAACATGGGAGACAACGAGAACTTTCTGTCTTGTAGGTATAATTCCGAATCTAATTTATGTCGTAATACCCACTATACCACTACTGCTGTTGATACTGGTGGCTTTTGGGACTTGCTGTTTCCAGATGCTTCATAAAAGGTAAAATATACTAATCCAAAATGGTCTTACAATGCAGAATTCATATTTCCATTGGCAAGCTCTTCATACTGAAAGACTGCTTACATCTGTCCCAATACATGCAATTAAATATCTTTTCATCTGTTAAAATCCAAGTAGTTTACAGCTGAACATTCACCATCAGGCTTTTCCACAGTGCACTGAAATAGTTACAGGTCTCCCAAAGTATAATGCCGCTAGAACTTCATCTGTTTCTAAAGAAGATATCTTTGCTGACCATTTGATAGGCTGAGCTACTGGCAACAATTTTTATTCACCCCTTCCATCATGATTACTACCTGTACAGCATCTGGGCTTTGAGGATAGAGGACTGCTCTGTCATCGCTGATAGAGGATGAACATAAGCACTCACCTCAGTTTCTGACCAAAAGTGTAGTTCAAAGGATGAATCTGAGGGGTCAGCAGCTGTTTAATGCTGTTTCAGTGCACATCTTATATGTACAACAGATGAGCAACTGGAGCAAACAAATTGAAAACAGAAAGCAAAACATGTTTTGAGCCACACTGAGCAGTGCAACTGCTTTGTGCATCAGGTATCTCTCAAAAAAAAGATCCATAAAGTAAATAGATGTGTACATAGATGTAATATAAAATAGTTGTATTATTATGCAAATAGGAAACATTTCAGTTTATGAAACAGGATATATTTTGATCCATGCTTTAAAATTCTTTGGAATTTTTATTTTTCTCACAATTATATATGACTATATTTTTTTTTCTGAACCAATTTTTTTGAAAACTTCAAGGATATCTTTCATTCTGCAGGTTTTTTTTTTTCAGGAAATGTTTTCAAGTTAATGCAATCCAGAAAAGTTTAAACTGAAATATTTTTTATGGATAAACACTATCTTGGTAAAACAAGAAGAGTAATAAACAGATTCAGAAGCTGTTATCCCTCTTGCAGAGCAGGAATACTAGTAAGGAATATGACATTTTTATGACTGTTTTAGGAAATTAGAAAAAAAAATCCTCATTACTTTTAGTCTTTATTTTTTCTCTGTGTTTTTTATTTAGCATCTTCTGCAAATAGCTGAAATACCTTATTTCAAGTGAAAAACACTGCAAATGTGAAGTATTCCTATATCTGTATGAATGAGTATACGCTGATATTCACAGCACACCATAATGGTCTGTCTCAATGAAAAAAGTGAACATAAAAGATACTGTGAGGTCTCCATCATAAATTACATTTTGTCTTTGTTATGCACTTTGCTATAAAAAAAAAGAAAATGTGCTCTTTCCAACTTGTCTTATGGCGGGTAAATTAATTGTTGTGAAAGGCTGTATCCAAGCCTCAGCACTGGGGCTGTAGGAGGCTGGAAACTCAAAGCAAAACAAAGAATCATATGCATAACAATAACAATTATATAAGTAATCTAAATCTTGAATCCTTATTACAATGGACCTGGATTTCTTGGTAAGTATGACATGTGTGTTCATACCTTTTCTGTCAGTTCTTTCTCTCAGAAAACGTTCAGCTCTCAAATACTCCTGGGAAAACACTGAGATATTAATGGCCCACTGAAATCAATAGACATAGTAGTGTTGACTTCAGTGAGCTTTGATCAGGCCTTTGATGCTATAGCAGTTCATCCAGAAGTAATTAATCTGAACTTCCAAGACTTAAAAATTTCATGACACAGATAGTAGAAATTCAGCTTGGAAGATTGTACTTTTTCTTTTAGCTGATTAGTTTGGTAGATTAAATGATATAAAAATCAGGGAGAAAATGGATTTGAATCAAAACAGATGTTTTTTTCAGAATGTTTATTTTGGGTTGCATCAAAGCCTTTAATTAAAGAAAATAAAACAAATTGTCTTTAAAATTCATTTAAGTCAAAAGAGGTGTCTGATATCACCAGAAATGAAGTATTTTCTTTTTTATCTGTTGAAACAGAACTTTTTTTTTTTTTTTTTTTGAAATACCAGTTACTAACTGAAAGCATATGGAGGTTGTTACAATAGCACTGCTACTAATCTAGGTCTAGAACCTTGTGGGGTGATTTTTTTTTTTGGTCAGAGGATTGTTTTGTCATACAGCTAATACATTTGTTACCTGCAGGCTTTGCTTCACTGTTGAAACAGAATTTTTTTTTTTTTTTTTTTTTAAAATGTTTCCCCATCTATTTTCAGTTATATTTCCACATATGACCTACCTTGGGAATTGTTTTGGTTCATCACAAATGCTCAGTTCTTGTGTAAAAAGCAAATCGGAAAAAGAGGCAACCACCTGAACTGATCATCTGGATACTGTAGAGCATTAGGAAAGGGATTCTGTCCTGCTGGGGAAGGAGAGATCCCCAACTTTCCAAATGAACCTGACTTCTCATTCTTTTTTAGGCTTCCACAACATGGTGATCTTTCCTCTGAAAGCCACAATCCATGGCCAACCAGGACATGCCTAGCTTGAAAGGTCATGACTAATTTTGCCTGGCATTGGGCTCTTAAAGGGTAGTAATAAGGCAAACCAAAACATCTTCCCTGTAGCTAGTGGAAATGATCAGCTCATTCATGCTTAGATGCTCTCCCTTTCATTTCTTCCAGGGAAGCAAGGAGAAACTGCTTCAAAGATCCATCTCCATTATCATCTGAATGCCTTGCAGAAAGTTTAAATTCCAACCTGGTATATTTCTCAGTTTCTATGATTGCATTTGATGATCAAAACAGCGATATGCTCAAGCTATTTACTGCATTTTCCTTACCTTTCTTACTAAAACCTATTTCCTGAACCAGATATGTAGCTATTGAAAAATCACCGTAGGTTCACTGAAGATAAGCTCACTTTATACAGCTGAAGTTCTGATCCAAGGTATTTAGAAATTGTTCCTGCTGTGTGGCAAGGACACTCCATTCAGAGTTTTGTCATTAATTTACAAAATATGCCTGATTTTGCTGAATTAATCTGGAAGGAAGTAGTGAATCAGTTTCTTAAAGAAAGAAGTGCTGAAACTACTTGATTCATTGCAATTGCTTTGTTTATAGCATTGTGGCCTGATCTAAAGTCCACTGAAACCAATGGGAGTCTTTTCAATTACTCCAATGGGCTCAGGTACATAATGCATTACTTTGTAGGACTTCAGAGGTAAGTCTGGAGGGACTAAAAACTACTGTACAGTCTAGCTCCCTCAAAGTACATTTTAAATCAACTCAGATCATTCACATTTATGCACCAGGAAAGGTGTAAAACTGAATGTATAGGCCTGTTGGGATCTTGACTCTCAGGTTTCCAACCTGCAGAATTATTTAGAGATAGTTCTCCTCCTTTGGTTTTTACTTAATTGAAAAAAAAAAAAAACCCACCAGTGTGAAATATTCTGCCCAGAGACTAAAACATTTTGGTTGAAATGCAGCTGCAGTGGCTCATAAAGTGCCTTTTCTTTTCAGTAGACTGCAATACACTGTCATCTGCCATGTAAGTGAGGAAGGTGGTGTGTTGTGGCAGCTATAGCAGAGATGCTAGCCATGTGGAAAGACTGGCATCAACTTACAGGGTGCCTCAGGGCTTCCTGTAAAGATTAGAGTGAGCACTTTTGAAGTACTTTTGGAACCTGTTTTATCTTTTTTATTAAAAAAATGGAAAAGCAAAACCAACCTTCGACAGTTTTGAATGAAAACTAGGCCTAAGGAAGCTTTCCACCAGTCATTCATTGCTAGGAGTCTGATTCATGTGCCATTACTCCATGAGAAGTTAGATCAAACACTGAAGGGAAGAAGCTTTCTGGCATACCAGTAGACACTGGCAACCGTTAGTGTTGCACAGTGACAGGGGTGCAGCTCCAGGGTGCACATGGGGAAGGTTGTAGTAGTTCCCTGGGGTGGGTGGGCTGCACCCCAAGCACGTTGGACATGGGCTTGGGAGCGTATGTACTCCTGTCCCCTATTTGCACCTCCAGACAAGGGGAGAGCCCAGCCTCCCACTACCCTGGTCAAACAGTGTCCACAGCCCTCTGTATGAGCAGGTGTGGGTGAATATGAACTGAAAAAAAAGAAAAAAACCCCTAAAAGCGGGCTATGTCACTTGGGTTCATTGGAGGAGCGCTACTAAGCAGGGTGGCCTGGTAACTTTGCTAACAGTTGCTTACCTCAGCCCACCACTGCGGTGCTGTGCTTGGTGCAGCATGAGCATGAGACACGACCCTTTTGTGGATGGGGAACCCATGCTATGAAAACAACAACGATGGCCTTCAAATAGGGGAGGAAATACCCAGGTCTGTTCACAAACCTGAATTGGGACTGCTAAGGCACACATGCACTGAAAAGAGTTTATATTTTTATTTTTCAGTAAAGGAAGATCAAAAACCAGTCCAAACCAGTCCACACTATGGATTTCAAAGACGCCTAGGAAGGACAGTAGCATGGAGGTATAATGATTTACTGACTGAAAACAAAGCAAAAATAATATTTTGCAGTCAGGCTGTATTATAATGTCGTCAAAGAACATTGGCTTGGAATGGCTTGAAAATGCAAAGGATCTACAAGAATGAACTGTAAGCTCCCCCTTGAGGCAAATGTTCAGATCATTTTTATATAATGTTTGATTATTAATTCAGTAACAAAATATGCCATGCTAAATAAAGGGTATGTGTTTATTTTGCTAAGAGATGTAAGTTAGCTAGTTGTGAGCAATGAAATGAACAGAGCATTTGAAGTTTTTATGGGGAAATATCTACAATGTATCAGTTTTAAGACTGTTTGTTAAACAAACCCTCTTTGTTTCCTTTAGTCTCTCATGCATTGTAACCTAGTTGATGTACTGTAAATGGAACTGACAATTTTACAGTGTAACAATTATTTATCTTTGCATAAATGTTTGATACAAAATATTTGTTTAGTGTTTATTTGCACACTTAACACAGTTTTTGATCCTCAGGCACACAAATTATTTTATTAAATATTAACACAGTTGCTGATAGAGATAGCCACCTTGTTGTGACATCAATCTGATGTGGCAAAATTCAAGGATTCATAGAAGTCATTTGATGTCATATAATGAATCCACTTTGCCAGGGAATAACCATAACTTTTTGACATATTGGTCCAAGGTCAACATAAATAACTTGGCAAGTGACACCTCTTTAATGAGATGTGCTTTGAAGGCAGACATTATTTAAGTAAAACATGTTTAATTTTTTCTGAGGAAAAAAAGTAATATTACAATCAGCAAGAATTTAAGATTAAAATTACTTGTTTCAGTAAATCTATGTTAAAAATACATTAAAGATATTTAAATATAGCTAATGGTTTGTTAGGAATAATGTAATGTTGAATCAAAGAGAAGACAAATGTCTTTTCTTGGAAGTGACACTAATAGATTAATCCCAGCATTACTCAGACTATTAGCTAGAAAAACATTAATTGTGTTAATTGATAGATGGATTTAAAGGTAACCCTTATACATTCAAAGTCTTCTTTTAGAGTTATTATTAACATCATTAATGTCCATTATCATTGGTTGCTCAGGAGCCTTCTGTGCTATAAGAATGATTTTGCCAGTCATTAGTAGCAGATCTTGGGATGCTAGCAGTAGCACTCCGGCTGATTTGTTGGTGACAGTCTGGTACTGTAGCAGAAAGTTAAGGAGTTTTGCTGCAGTTGCAGCAAGAGTTCAAGAGCACAAGTTGAAGCTAGTTGGCTTTACATTAACACAGATGCAAAACTACTGCTGGGTGGAAGTTGGGGAGGAATGGACAGAAACAAAACTGTATTACTCTTGGGGTTGCCTGCCCTCTGCTACCTGATGTTGATAACAGCTTGGAGTTCAGAGACAAATGTGTATCAATCTTTCTGAGCAAAGAAAAAGCATTTAAAAGTTCAATACCACTAATACTAATTGTGCAATGTTATTGCTGAAGCACTTCTGGAAGCATCTTAAAGTTGATGTTACGCCATGTTTTTGCTTCTTCTTTCAAGAAGCCATCTTCTCTACTTCAGGTTAAGTATTGCTGTTCCTACTTAAAATGTTCTGTAGTTTTTCCAGTCAGTCACAACTTCTTGCTTTCCTCAGTCTCTGCCTTTAATTTCCCTAGTAGTGATCGTAAATAGAGACAAAATGCTATGATCCTGCGTGATCACCAAGACCAGAATTGTTCTTTTCCTGAATTACGTATTGTTTAACTCAACTGTGGGCAAGAGATTCCTCTCTTTTGCAAACAATTGAGGTAAAAAGAACTTAGTTCTTTTTTATGGTCTTGAAGGATTAACATCCTTTAACTTAATTTAAGGATTAACTTTTGTTCATACTTTGGGCTTCCAAAGGACAGGTAAAGGTGTTGCAATCAATATTATGAATAATGCGGCAAAAGTGATTTCCATGCAGCAATTAGGAGAATGCAAATACCTTCAGATGTCTTTCTTGTGGGGTGAAGGGGATTGCTGGGCAGTTACCAGCACAGATCAGTCAAACTCTGTGTGAAGGAAGAATGGAAAGTAGCACACAAATCTTTTATTATAATGTACTCAGATTCTATATGTAAATAAAAAATATTCATAATTGGGACAAAATATTTCCATATCATCTCACCTGCTTAGGAGAGGGAAGGAGTTTACTTTCATGTATTTCCTTCACTTAGGCTGTTGTTCCTGGATACCAGGTAAAATCTAAGGAAACTTAAGAATCCTGTGTAGAAGACTGCAAATGGTGCACAGATCAGACTAATAGTCTTATGACTCCCACCTTTTAGTTGATGATTCTTTTCCATGCAAAACATACAAATCCCACACATATGCAAATTCTTTCTTCTTTTTCCCCCATATTTTGATGCATAAAAGGGACATGGGAGTGAGGGTAGATTTTGTGCTGGTATTTCCTTTGGATTTTGTTGGGGCTTAGAGAATCCAGAAAAATAGCTACAGGTATTTATGTGACATGGTCCATTAATGGCAATAGAATTGCTATTTAAAAAGAAAAACAAACAAAAACACCCCCCAAA